GGTGCATCTCGGTTGAATATTTATGGCGCATATCGGCCCATGGCCATATGTGATGAGGTGTCGCCTCGATTACGTCATATGCATATAATTTATAGTCATCCAGCCGTGTTTCCGATCAGCTAAATATCTATTACAAAGAGCTATTATTGCGTTTTATGTCGTTGTTTGATCTACATATATTCGTAGATCATTGATCTGTGTTATTTAGGGGAAGCCGGGGGAAGCCCAGGCGCGGGGGAAGCCCGGCCACCCCGTTTCCGGCTAAATTATTCACAATAAAATGCTCAACTGTTTGTCCTTTCAGCGTGGCAGCTAAGGTAACGCCAGCAAAAAGTTAAGGCTAAAAAATTTCATATTGTTTAAGTTATAGCACAAAAATGATATTTTAAGGGTTTTTAGCTAAAAAGTGAGATATGTTGCACTGTTAATGTTATACCATACAGTAATAATATTTATACGAATGTTATGTAAGGACCGTTTAAGTGTTTGTAGTGAGGGGTGACGAGGCAGGCTGGCTTAAGTATGACATTTTTTCGAATATCGCTGTTCTAAAATAAAAATTAGCACATTGGGGTAACCCCGGGCGAGTGGCCAAGCCTACCCCCAACCGAGATCAATGCCACTAAACCACTGTTTTCCATGAGATAATAGGTACTGAGCAGGATTGGTTTACACCTAGATCAAAGATAAATTTCGAAAATAAACATGTTATCATAGACAAAGCCATTCATGTCACTTAAGGTCAACTAGGGTCAAACTACGTTTTTGCAGATAACGCGACAGACAATGAAGCTAGAGCTTCAAAAATGGTGTCGCTGTGTTCTTCTTCATCAGCCGAGTCGAATAATATGCAATATGATGCATTAAGGTAAAAAGAAAATAAATTTTAAGGAATTTTGATATACACATTTTTTTTTGTCAATTTTGCATCACGATTTTCATCGACCTGTACTGTATATGTGGTAGACGCTAGCTAAAATACCAGTAGCGATATAAACTCTAAGATGTCCAGAGCTAATCAGTACCTTAATATTTCACTTTCCGTTAATGTTTGGAAGACACATAATGGTTTCATCAACTCGTTGTAAAGCGCTGGGGAGGTGGCCAGCGTTACCCCTATGCAGGGGCTCCGCCACAGGGGGGGTCGGGGGGGTCCGGACCCCCCCAATAATTTTGGTGTGGGGTACAGACCCCCCCCCCCCAATAATCCATGTACATATCTCAACTTTTGCTTTTATTCTCTTTAAAGAAAGAACTTAAAAAAAGTTTAACCGCGGAATATTTTTTTTTGTCTGTTTTCAGTGTTTTGTTCTAACAAATAATTAAATTCAAAGTCTTCAAGAGTTCATCACCAGCCCGAAGGCCTCACTGAGTACCTGAGAGTGCAGTTTCTTCAGGTCCTAGACAGTGCACTGAGCCTGGAGCCATCTCAAGGATAGGTTTGACCAGGATGGGCTGAAAGAAGTGGCCATCGTTGAGGGAGTTCTGCTGGGCCAGCATGACCAAACATCGGTGTCTGAGGCGAAGGAGCGGATGCACTCGTGGCCACCAGAACTGAAGGTGGACGAGCTACTCTCGCAGCTCCGCGTGTTTTCCAAGAAGCATCCATTTTCGACACTCAAAGAAGCGTGCGAGGGTTTCTCAGGGCTCAGTGAAGATGCCCGAGAGCTCCTGCCTCAAGTGAGGCTTCTGCTGACCTGGCTCCTGACAATGCCCGCGAGTACGGCGACGGCGGAGCGCAGTTTTAGTGCGCTCCTCCGCCGTTTCAAAACATGGCTGCGTTCAACGATGAGCCAAAAACGACTCAACGCTGTGGCCATCTGTCATATTCACAAGGACACAACCGAGTGCATCGACGTCCGCAAGCTTGCCCGGCAGTTTGCTTAAAAAAACGGCAAACGTCAGCATACTTTTGGATCATTTCAGGCCCATGTCACTCCACTTTTGATGACATCATATGGGGGCCTCAGGACAATAATGGCGCGGCGCGCCACAAACGCTTCAAAGCTACTTGCATAATAGAGGTCAATGGCTACTTGCCAACAGTTGCCATTTTTGAAAATATTATTTTGAAATAAAGTTCCAAGTAATAAAAATATTGTAAAAAAGTTGTTGAATAAATCGATACCATATCTAAAAACTTACTGAAAAATGATTTATTCATAGTAAAAATATAGGCTCGATGCGTTTTTACGTTGCTTTCCTGCAACTGCAGAGGGTTTTTAAATCGTCTATATCTTCAAATCCGGCCATTTCTTAGCATATTGCTGCTCTTTTTTATCGCTAGAAAATTAGTTGGACTTTCGAATGACATCAATGGTTGAGCGATATGTGTAGAGTGTCACCAACAATTTTCAAATGAAGTTAGTCATTTTTACGTTGTAAAGGAATGGAGTACCCCTTTCGAGCATCAGGGGTGACGTCACTCAGGATCTGTCTCTGATTGGTCGGCGGGGGAGTGACTGTACCTTCTATAGATGGCCTTGGATCATTTGAGCTCCAGAGTGCTCCCAGCTCCTGAGCTCGCCTCCCAAGTGGATTTAAGCGCTATGAAAAGCGACGTCAAACAATGTGAACGTTCCTCGCAATACAACTGCTATGCTCTGTAGATTTTCGTTTTTTGAATTGGTGATCCATTTCTATTTATTATCAACCACTTTTATTTTTATCATTGCTGAGTACCTCCATTACAATTTTGAAATGTATCAGTCCTAGCAGAAGAACAGCTATTACAAACACGGGAGAAATAGGTGCACTGACTAATATGAGTTGATGATATATTTATTCAACATTACACTAGGTACTTAAGTAAAGTTTTGCATGTTGATCCAGTCCATATAAGGTTATGCACTTTCCTGTCGGACCATAGGCGCGGGAACCGGGGGGAGGGGGCAGTGGGGGCAGCTCCCCCCAACTCTGGGGCCGTGGGGGCGGTGCCTCCACAGCTTTGAGACGGAATACTGCACTTTTTTGCAAATGTTTTTTTTGTTGTTGAATAAGCCAAGGGATGAAAAGTAAATGGCCTAAAACCGGTGAGAAAACGGGATTTGGGGGTACCCTAGGTTGATCTCTATTATGGTGTGCCCCCCGCAGTCTGAAGGTAGTTCCCGCGCCACTGTGTCGGACCCCCCCAATCATAAAAACGTGGCGGAGCCCCTGCCCCTATGCCGGGCTTACCCCAGAAAAATCAACACTTTTTTTAAAACTCGACTTTCTCAACCTTATACTTATTCCACGAAACGCACGAAACCGAATTTTTGGGAAAACACGGCCAATGAACTTAGCTAGCTAACAGGATATCAACATTTTATACAGCACGTATGGTATGTAATTAAAATGAAAAAGAGCTTACTATGCCGGGCTTCCCCCGGCTTTCCCTACAGGTGAACAAGGCTCGGAAAGGGTGAAGAATGAAGCTCTTCGTTGGGCACAGAAGCACGTCGCGTGTCTCTTGCGCCTCCGCAGTTGCCGACCTGAGGAAACAAGTAACGACGTTCTCCGGAATAAAGCAGGTAACCATGTCTTGTGAGTTGTAGCAATTGGTAGGTATCGAAATCATGCGATCGAAATACTATCGAAATCATCGTAATGCTGTTTTGTTTAATGCATACCACTCGTTAGGATGGTCCTTTAACCCGCGCCCTGCTGGGGGGGGGGGTGTTTGAACACCCCCCCTTGTGGTTTTTCGCGAATATCTCAAAAACGGCGGCGCGGAGCGCCGCCGTTTTTGGTATACCTTATCACACATCAATTCTACACATGCCGTTTTTGGTATACCTTATCACACATCAATTCTACACATGTTGTGAAAATTTCAGACCAAGGTCATTCAAGGTCAGGTCACCAGGTCACTTGAAGTGACCTCACCTTATAAAAACTTTCAATGTCTGTCATAGCTACACCGAGTGACCGATCGCTTTGAAACTTTCAGCGATTGCTAAGAGCAATAGCATGTACAAAATGTATATCTCAGAATTTTGATATCGATGACCTAAGGTCAGGTCAATTTTGCGACCTCCCCATTATAAGTCAATGGGAGAAAATTGAAATGCGCCTCTTTTGGACAAAAGACATTATAAACACTCCCAAACACCGAATTACAAGTGGTTTAGACACACTGAACATGAAAATGGTGTCCGTGACCCTTGTTTATGCCCTGAGGTCATCTTAGGTCACGAATGGTATCTAACAGTTTTTCGCAAATAACTTTTGATAGAGGCATGCTAGAGCGATGAAAACGCCTTAGATGTGTTCAGCTCGACGATACGGATCGACTGATATGCAACATGACCCTTTCCGGTCAGGTCATGACCTTGACCTGAGGTCATATTTTCAAGTTGACCTTTCAAGGTCAAGTTATAGTTCGTTCGATGCGTCTTGACGAGAGGAACACGATGCCGGTAAAAGTAAGCTCGTACAAGGCTTGGGTCAAAAGTTATTGCAGAAAAACTGTTTTCGAAAAAATCGGCTATTTTTGCAGTTTTTGCCCCCTGCAGGCAAAACCGTTGACGTTAGGTCAAATCTGAGAAAATTACTCAGAAAGGGCGTTAATAGGGCTATCGAATGCGCTTATCCGCGGCGCTGTAGCTCTATTGGTTCCCGAGTTATGCGTTGGCTTCTTGGAAATTTTCGACATTCGACCTGGAAATCGGCGAAATTTTGCCTTCAATGACCTCTGGTGACCTGACCTTTGACCTGACCAAAAAATTGACCGAAGTGATTTCGTCATTATTTTTTACGCTCTTTCGAACGCCGCCTTCCGCGTATCGCTACGTGGCCCAGAAGCCGAGTTACAAGGGGGGGGGGTGTTCAAACACCCCCCCCCCCCCAGCAGGGCGTGGAAATCCAGGACCCCCAGCAGGGCGCGGGTTAACCTGAACTGGACCCTGAACATATATCGCCTACCATTTGGTTTCCTGTTTGTGCATCCATTGACGGATCCATTGAAAATCAAAAGTGAATGGTTTGTCACAGTAAACACATACTTTGCCCACAGAATGTGCATCTGGAGATATTCAACAGTGACTACGGAGAGTGGGTTTTGCTTCTGGATGGGGATGAGGAGAACATCACAGAATCTCATCCGCGAGTGAGAACCGCGCCTGATGTCAAGTAAGGATATTTTGCTCAAGTAATACACCTTTTTGCATTGTTCGATGACCAATCGGCAAGATATATTCAACCCATCTGCTCGAGATAGCAGGGGGCGGCCGAACCCCCCCCCCCCCCCCCCCCCCAGCAGCGCGTAGACTACAGATATACCCCAGCAGGGCGTGGGTTAATATTTCATAACAATACGAGAAATCGGACCGGCCAACTCGGTTGAATGGCCTGGCGACGATTTGGTCTACCTTTGGCCTCGCTCGTAACGATTGACCGCCAACGATCGCAGCCATAATCGCCATTGACCATGAGTGTTGCATGTATTTGGGTAGCAAATGTTAATTACGGTCAAGGAAATATGTTGTGTATCATGATTTGAAACATCCTCGAATATTTTCAGCGTTCTAGCGCACGAGACTGTGTTGGATGAAGAGCAAACGCAGTTTGACGGGATCGTCTTTGAAACGGAAACCCAGCCAAGGTGATTTAATGTTCATCTTACCATGATGTAGAATTTTGAATGGTGCTTTAGTCAGAATAGTTTCATTTTCTGACCAACAATTGGACGGGCGAATTTATGAGGCCTAGGAGGCCCTTAAAAGTTGCTAAAAATGTTTTGATTTTTTGCAATTCTGACAGCTCTCTCTCTCTGACAGTTTTCTCGCAATCTGCGAAAAAAAACTCAGGGGGGCGTAAAACCGCCCCTTGGCCCGGCGCGGGTTAAACAGGGCCAAGGGCTAGGCAGAACTGGTTTTACCCACCCGGTTCAAACCGTTGTTAAATCCGCAGTTTTAACCGGGACGATCTGGCAAGTGCGCTTACCTTGTCAACCTTGGTATGTATTTTGGAGAAGAATCTCATCTCATGACTTCCCTGTAGTTCACTTTCCGATAAACAGGCACTATAACACGAATTCTCAAAGTTGCACTTTCTTGCCTTCGAAAGTGATTTACATCTGTATATTTAGCTAATACTCTTTATCCTCAGGGACCTGCAAGTACCCAGTATGAGCATCCCGACCGGATCAGGCGCTGTAGCTGTCCATTCTAGTTCCTTCTCTAGTGCGGATGCAGAGAAGCCGACTGTCAGTGGGAGTGACGTACGCAACGGAAGGTCAGTTTAGTCAATTTAATGACGAGCAGTTGGACAGAGCAGCTAGTGATGTTGTTAGTAGTTCGTAAAAATGTTAACCCGCGAGTTGCTGGGGGGGGGGAGTTAAACGCCCCCACTTTTTTCGCCGGGCCATAGCATAAAAACGGCGCGCTGTAGGCGCGCCAAATTTCGGGTACCTGTAGGGAATAGATTGAAGTTCATTGTGACAAAGTTTCACAAGAATCGGTCGGAAAATTTTTGAGATATCAAGGTTTTAGTGACGTCATGATTTCTGAATTTTCGACCAAAAACGGCATATGTTCAAAAAATCATATAAAATCACAGAATAGACATACAGACATGCCGTAAACGCCATTAGACTGCCAATACCATGAAAAATCAAATGGCTATCTTCGATTATTGATTATCCTTCAGCATTTTCCAAAATCTTGAACTGAACCTTGGCAATTTCTCGTGACTATTCTACGACCATGATACATGCATTTCTTAAATTGAACTTTTTGAGCCAAACACGTACACATATGATAAAATGAATATCACCATCGTGTTCTACGCCCCAAATTACCCATAAAACATGTGTCACAGGCTGCGAATTTCAGTTTTGATTTTCGTGGATATAAGCCTACCCGGTTGACCTGACCTTGACCCTGACCTATGCTTGACTGACCCCTACATGGAGCTGACACTCTTGTAGGCCATATATGATGCATTGTGCACCGTTTTGACAGAGTTTATGACGAGAGGCGCCCACTGCGAAGTCCTGAAGTCCATGCTACTGAAAGCCCGATTTCAGGTGTTTGACCTGACCTTGACCCGACCTGTGACCTCAAAATTCAACTTTGAAGTACTCATCTGAAGCGTCTCGTCGCGTTCTTTCGTTTGCCGCCTCGTGCGTGTCGCTGTGCCTATTGGTTCTCGAGTTATCGGCTGGGGGCGTTTAACGCCCCCCCCCCCCCAGCAAACGGTGGGTGGCGAAATACCCCAGCAACTGCCGGGTTAAGTCTCTGAATTAAGCCAAATGCACTACGGAGGTACGGTTCCAAACACATTATGCATTTTCTGCTTCAAACAGACACTCTTTGTTTCTGCTATTTTTCAAATTGGTGAATTAAAACAATCAAATACTCACATACGTAACACGTTCTTCTAAGTTCTAACGATACCCAACGACTTTTCGACTAGTTCTTATTGTGTCTCGGTGAGCTGCTTACGATGCATGAACTTCAAAACATTGACACTCCGCAGGTCTGACGGTCCGACACAATGCCCAGTGTCCTGTGGTGGTGACGATGGACGATCTGGACCGCCGGCGGAGGTGGGCGCAGGCAACCCAGGCAAGAAGAAACCTGGATAAGTCGCTACGCAGCCGTGGCTGTGATTCCGCAGCCCTGGCTGTGATTCCGCAGCCGTGACTGTGATTCCGCAGCCGTGGCTGTGATTCCGCCGCCGTGATGAAGCTCAGATGAAGCTGTGATGGCTGTGATGACGTTTTAAATATACCTTCACTCAGATTGTGACTTTAATTAAAGACTTGAAGACCACAAATGGCTCGTTATGTAGGTATTCGTTCCAACCGAGCACTAGAAATGGATAAATTCCAAGTGATGGTGGCTTGAGGCAACTGCAGCCCAGCATTCGTCCTGTGAAACCGAGACCTTGCATGCTATAGCTGGGCACTCTGTGATCTGGTATCGGCGTTAGTTGGTGATCGTGTGACACGCCGTACTTTCTTTCGAACCGAATTTCATGTAACACACTGTCCTATCTCCGAGCCATGTGGACCGATCGATTCTCGATGCGCTTCGCTGCTCCATATAAAAGCAGCGGCGACACGAGCGCGCACACACTCTGTCTCTCAGTCGGACACTCGTCACTGGACTCTACTGGTGGCGGTACACCGCGTGGGTCGCCGGACCATTCGGTCCGGGACATTCGTCCCGGACGTCAAGACACTTAGACACACTCTCTGGTTGGACACTCGAACCTCGTCACCGGACTCTACTGTTGGTGCCGTGTGGGTCGCAGGACCATCCGGTTCGGGACATTTGTCCCGGACGTTGAGACACTCGCTCTGTGTGACTCTGCCTGTGAACACCCGCTTCGGCCGATGCGGTGCGACGCGGTTGCCGATTTGTCAGCGTGGGTGCCAGTCCGCTGCTGAAACCGACGAACTGCTATCATGTAAGTCCGGCAGCGCGTCGCCGGTCATTCGGCGGCATTAGATTCTCCAGCCTATCGAATGCTTTATTTTTGGCCCACTAACATAAAATCTGAATCTGTCAATTGATTCAAATATCTCGGTAAATGGTCACTTACTCGTGGAGTTCAGACTTCTGCATCATTTTTGTGTGCGTACTGTTAACGTCGTCATAAAGAGTTGTGCAAATCTCGTACCCACTATAACGCCTTGCTTGTTCTGAAGTTAGTTTATGTCTGTGTGCATTCACGTGTGTATGACGCGGATTGTGCATGTCAAATATGTCGTGCTCCCACTGCCACCCCTACTCCCTCCTCCTGAAATTAGCACGTAACATACAATATAACCCACTGACGAAACTAGACTGTGATGGCGAATGAGGGGCTATAACGAAAGGGAGATGATCGAAGCGATGGGTTGACGAGGTCGGGTAGATGAGTAGAGTAGAACGGGTTTTAGAAATTGTGGTCTATAATTGGGTAGCAAGGCTAACAAATGATATATCTCGGTCAAATATCAAGGGGAGTGGGTCAATTTGAGCGTTGAGGATCTGGGGGTTGTCCTCTTATTACTTTGCTATTAACCTGCCGTCATTAGCTCATTTTAACGCTTGGATGACGTCAACTGACAATACCAGATAATTTCAGTAATCAACATCTTGTTAAAAAAAAAATCTTCAGAGCTCAGCATGCCATTTGACGGTAGTTTTCCTGTATGCATTCGCAATTATCCGGATAGTTGTTTACTTGCTAGTAGGTCTCAGTTCGCTTATTCAGCAATTGCAGCTCAAGGAGGTTCAAAATGAAACACCTTCCCAGATTTGGAGTAATGATTGAGCGTTCGATGTTTCTGTTTTGTTTTTCGTAGATGACTCGTTAACGGATTAACGTATATTGTCAAGTAATTTGGGGTTCTAAAATCTGCAACAAGTAATTCAATGGATTGTGTACAATTATAATTCACTGAGCCAAATCGAAACCAGTATACCATGGTGGCAATAAAATCGTTCAAGTAACCGGCCCTACCGATTTACTGATTTCCGCGGTTCGAGCTAAACATGTTTCGCCACATTCCCTCCTACATTGACGAGAGCCATATTTCATTTCGTACTAGCATACTTTACAATAGCGTGGTACTCAGAAACTTTGCAGTAAGTTCATTATTGATGAATTAAAAATCAAAGGCTGATTTTAACAGAACGAAAAGTAATGAAAACTTGAGTTATAGACCGTAATTACTAACAATCGTGATTACAATCCACGAAACCTCTCAACATGTTACAAACAAGTTACGACAACCTTATAAATTACTAACTATTTCACCAAGAAAACCTTGCAAATTGACAACGAACCCAGAACGCTCTATTATACGAAGTTTCGGAAGTTTAAGCAAACATGTCAAGTAATTTCCGCCATAAACTGAAAAATCCCCCCTGGTACTACTTTTTCGTAGTTACAATCGTGTGAACGGGCAGCGATGTAAAACAATGAACAATTCTGGCTTAATTACTTATTACTATCATTTAAACTCCTACGTTTCCAACAAAGCAAATTACGCAATGCTGTCAGTCAATTACGCCCTACACACGCATTCAATGTTTTGCGGCTGAACGTTTTGCATTCTATTTCATATAATACGGCATGGTTAAAGGAAATAGTTCACTTTCACGAAATTATTTTTTTGCAATGGATTTGTGATTTTTTATGTTCAAAATGATCAGCAAAGAAAATAAAACCTTTTTACAGCAAAAGATTATTTTCTATATTTTTGATATAGGAAGAACTTTTCAGTTTCTGTAAGGCACACGCGATCCAGTATGAAAAGAGCATGGGTCCCGGAAATTCTTCAGAAACTAAGAAATTATCGCGGCCACCGGCATTTGGGCGATCTGCTCGTGCTTTTGTTACTGGAGCGCCTCACTGGAGCGAATTTCTCTAGAGTTCTCGTAGATAATTTCTCTAGTTTCTGAAGAATTTTCGGGACCCATGCTCGTTTCATACTGGATGCGAATATATGCAAGGCACACATCCTCAACGCAAGACACATTTTTCGGGACGAGAAATAGAATATCTTTGCCTAGGGTGATCGTTGGGCTGTAAAAGCTCCTGATTTATGTTCGTCTCAGCCCAAGCTACGGAACTGCTATTCCAGTTCAAAACCCATGTTAAAATGTGAACTATTTCCTTTAAGTGCGGAGTACGTTGATTTCCAACTTTACTATATTTCTCGGTAAAGGCACGTTTTCTAGATGAAACCCAGGCATGGAAAACGCATGATCAGGAACAGATATAGTGTCTAGTTTTATTACCAGTTAACTTCCCCTTAAAACGTAAAGCGACGCCCGCTTTAATTTTGTGATGAATGCTACATTTCGGTACAGTGGCTCTCAGCAGTGAAATTGATGCCAAAGGGGCATTACGTAGAAGTCAATTTATTATATTGTCAACCTGTTCTGTTGTCTTTGTTGAAGAACACTCTTATAATCGTCATTCAGTGTGACTGGTAGATTTGGTTAACTACGTCAATATCACTTTGCCTAATTCAGAAAATTCCAGGCGCGCCGTTTCACCCAATTAGCCGCGGCCGCGTAGTTTAGCGGACGTCGCGTTATTATCATTCATTAATTAATGCCCTATACTTGTTGAAAAGACTTTCATACAATCGACATTCAGTGCGTCTGGTATATTTGGAAAGCTACGTCAATACTACTCCGCCAAACTCAACAGGATTCCAGGCGCGCCGGCTCGCCTATTAGCGTCAGCCATTTGGTGGGGGACGCCGCATCGTTATCATTCATGTAAATTGTAAGTGCAGCAGATAACCGAACGATTTTGGGACCAAGTCAATAAGATAAACTATCATTGTCAGTTGGCTCCATTCCTCTATTCAGCGACTAATTTACGGGACAACAATTGTAGTGGTTAAGAGAGACATACGGCCTGGCGTTACACCAGCCGCCCTTACCAGGAAAATAGTCTAGTCGTTACCATTATATCGAATGGGGTAGATTATTACTACTAATTGTCAGTATTGACATCATGCCCCGCACCAGTGAGAGCTGCGACGAGTCCACTTCTAGGACACATGTCATGGTGTGTGACGCCTATTTACTGTAAAGTTTCTACAGCACCAACCCAGATCTCCCGACTGCTCTGTGAGCGCTGGGTTTACTGCCCCCATAAATGAGACAGCGACGGCTGGCCATGCGTGGCCGTAATTACCTCTCTATGGAAGCGAGCTGAAGCGTGGTAGTACGGTATACACAATCGATTGATTACACTTTTCAATTGCCAGGGAATGAAAAATAAGTGTGGTCCCCCCTGTTCTGGTCAAGGTAGTGCAATTGTACTTAGGCAGTGTTGGTCGTTGCATGGAGATACCACTTGCATGTCTCTACACATTTCTGAATGGTTGGAAATGTGCCATTGGCTGACACAGGGTCAGATCCAGTCTGGGGCCCGTACTGTCGTGATGGGCCGGCGTTGTTATTCGATTGCCTGTGCTGCCGCTGGTGAGGGGCGGCGGTGCAGTGTGCGTGTCTCATTCACTGGCCCAGACGGGGGTGAGGATACGTTGACGCCGTTGCTGGATATTCCGGGTGCGTCCCGCGGTATCATTCATTCCGGGTACGTCCCGCGGTATCATTCATTCCGGGTGCGTCCCGCGGTATCATTCATTCCGGGTACGTCCCGCGGTATCATTCATTCCGGGTACGTCCCGCGGTATCATTTATTCCGGGTACGTCCCGCGGTATCATTCATTCCGGGTGCGTCCCGCGGTATCATTCATTCCGGGTACGTCCCGTGGTATCATTCATTCCGGGTGCGTCCCGCGGTATCATTCATTCCGGGTACGTCCCGCGGTATCATTCATTCCGGGTGCGTCCCGCGGTATCATTCATTCCGGGTACGTCCTGTGGTCATTTTTTCGGGTGCGTCCCGCGGTCATTTTTCCGGGTGTGTCCCGCGGTTGTTATTTGGGGTACGTCCCGCGGTTGTCAGTCCGGGTGCGTCCCGAGGTGGTTAGAGTTCCGTGATCCGCAATAGGTCACGACAAAGGGGTATCGCATGTAACGGGGCTATATGGTGGTGCCATAATTAGCCGTATGGAGGGGGCTACTAATTTCTGGGATCCACTTCCGAAGTATGGTTGCTGTGTGAATGTGGTTATTACTAGCTCGTCCCGGAAGCTCCTAATTGCCTTCAGAGTAGGCCAACTCTGTCGTCAATTTTGGCCATAGGCTGCTCCCAGTATGACCTAAATAATGAGCGAAAGGTGTATACATGCAATAATGTCAGTTGCGGAAGCCCAGAG